AGAAAGGAAAGCTAACTTGGAAGTTATTACTCTGATAATAGTGAGTGGAATATTTTAGTCTTTTTTGGCCATTTGTGTGTTTATTGGTAAAGAAAAGATGTGTAACTAACACATGATGATTCAAAATAATGAAAATCCTCATTTGGGAATATAAAGACAATCACCTCATCATCTTGAGCTGGAATACAGTTTAACCAGGATTAATAAAACCATTCTGCAGCCTGTATCAGTGACTTAATATTTCTCTATGTAATACTTCCTTCTTCCCCCCAAAGCCACTTGAGGAATCCTCTGAACTACAGAGAGTCTTTATAACCACGAGGTCCTTGGTGGGAGCTTCAGAGAGAGGTTTCTGCGTTTATGAAAGGCCCAGGGTCAGCCAGATCCAGCCTGGCCCGGCCTTCAGAGACACCGGCTGTTTGGCTTGGCTCTCGACCCGGCCCGGGCACAGGGCTACAGTTGTCCGCTGCCACGAGCTGCAGAGCTGCAGGTATTTCCTGACTCCGTTTTTCTGCAGTTGTATTCAGCAACTTTGGAGACGGAACATGGATAAACCTGGATGCAAGTGTAAGAAAACATGAAAAAAAATCCAACCACTAATGCAGCACACAGCCACATTTTCCTATTTCTTTTTCTGCTCACGCTTTAGTAAAACCTTAAAGGAAATTAGAAATCTAAGGCCATCTTTCCCCCAACTCATCTTCCACATCTTTTTTCTCCTGCAGCAGCGAGTGCGCAACACATTTTTCATATAGGTCGGGACTTTATCTGAATGCTCCAAACCCAGGAGTCTCATCTTTTTGCAGTTTCCTCTGTTTCTCCTCTGTGATGGCCCAGATGTTGCTCTTCCCCGTGTTTAGTTTAGCATAAACATTAATCATAGACTTCTGTGCCATCATTCCAAGAGCACCTCTCACCATTATGTTAATGAATACAGACACTTAGGAAGAGGCACATTTCAGCCTTTCCTCGCACCTGCACACACCTGGGTACACACGCAGGAAAAGGCACCATTTCCCATGCTGCATTTGGCCCTCGTCTCTCTCTGGCCCCTTTCAAATAATCCGCTGGGATTAATGAATGTAATTTTCACACATTAACTACCCCTCATTTGTGCATAATTGGGTGACCTACAACTGTGTTTACCAGAGTCTGATGAGTGTTGTTGTTAAAAGCTGCAGCAGGGGGGGTTGATTGACTGTTTGCTTCCCAGATGTTGAGTGATTCCACAACACCGGCTACGAACGGACATCTGTCCCAGCAAACTTCCCAACATCTCAGCTCATTAAGACATATGGCCAAACTTCAAAAACATCCATCTATTGGTTTGTCTCCCCGTCTCTATGAGCAAGGACTTTGGAGATGCTTTGATCATTTCTCCCCCTTCTCATTTCTTTTCCTCCCAGCTCCCTAGCCCAGCAGAGTCTGTCCAACCTGGTTCTTCTGTCTTTCCACGTCTGCCTCTGCTTCTGATTTAAACACACAGCAGGGGTTTGTGGGTAGGGACTCACGCTGCGAAGGATCTCTCGTTGCTCGGGCGGAGCTGAAGGTCAAACACACTCGTGATCGGAACACAGGAGGAGGACACTGAAGAGGTAGGATATGAAGAGTGCTCACAGATACTCAAGTTCTCTTCACGATACTGTGTTTCATGGCCATGTTTGGTGCCTGAAAAATGTGCAGGTGGTCTGGTTTTAGTCACATCCAGACATGTCACATAAAAAATATTCCTGAACAAAACGCATATTCTTCACTGGTTTTTATCCTAGAGATTTAAAATAAGATCATCTTGTGTTGAAAAATGTTTGTTGTTTTTGGTCAAACCATTTAAATAACATCTTGCATAATTGTAAGATTTCAAGCAATCAGTTAGCACTTGGAGGATATGTGAGGAACCTCCCACCTTGTCAGCTACCACAACACCAAATATTAACTCAACACCTGGCAAACTGACTGAGTTTGTCCCATTTTTGGTGTTTTCTAAGGTCCGTTGAGTTTGGTGGCCATATATAATTACATTGGGCTGCACAGTGGTGCAGTGGTTAGTGCTGTTGCTTTGCAGCAAGGAGATCCTGGGTTCACATCCCAGCCTGGGGCCTCACGCAGTCCACAAACATGGATGTCAGGTTGATTGGTTTCTCTAAAATTGTCCTTAGGTGTGAGTGTGTGCATGCATGGTTGTTTGTTGGTTGTGCCCTGCAATGGACTAGCAACCTATCCAGGGCGTACCCTGCCTGCTTGCCCGACGACTGCTGGAGATAGGCACCAGCCCCCATGACCCTACGTGGATAAGCAGGTAAAGAAAATGGATGAATGCAATTACACGTTGAACATTTCAGTAGAATTAGGCTACTGGTTAATTTTGCAAAGAGGTGCAGGGTTAACTTTAATGTGAAAAAAAATGTTATTAGCTCAATATTCAATATTTTATTCAAATCCAACTAATAATTCTTGGGGCATCATGCAAACACACACACACACACACACACACACACACGCACGCACACACACACACACACACACACACGCACGCACGCACGCACGCACGCGCACACACACACACACACACACACACACACACACACAATAATTCATCATTGCTCAATAACATCCAAATTCCACGTTTTAAATTTCCCAAAAAGAAAACCAACAACAGTGAAAGTGAAGTTAGGATTGTTTGTTTGTTCGGCTTGTTCTCCAGTCCCTGTTTAACGAGATAACCACCTGACTGCAAAAGCAAAACCAAACTAAAACATGAGCATGAACAAAAGAAGAAAGTCATCTGTTTTCTTTGAATGGAAAAACTTCTGGTGCCCAGATGAAGCCTCTCTGCTCTTTTCTTCTGCAATTTCTTTTTGGAAACATTTACATATTTCAAAAGTCCAGGAAGAAAAAAAAAATAGCCCGGGGACAGAAATGTCTGATCTGCATATTGAAGAGCTAACAGAGGCTAAGGGTGGGGGGATTGGGGACCTGAAAGACACGAGAGTAAATCTCAGTGTTAAAGAAAATCTTATAGAAACAATAATGCCAATTATCAGACGACGCCACGCTCATTATGAGGGATTAATTGCAGCATTTGCTAACAGCTCTGGCTGGTTGTCGTCTTAGTTGTGGAGCAGCTCCTCAGAGAGGGTGGGGGGGTGGACAGCGAGAAAAAATGTACATCATAAGAAGGCCTCTTCACCCAGCTTCCTTCATGAATAACAAATAGAGGAGCTGGTGCTGCGACCGGGCAGCACAACACATGAAAAACATTACAGCGCTCTCCGAGTCGTCTGGCTTTCTCCACATTATGCTGCTGAGCTCCAAGCATGGGAAACTCTGAGGCGCGTTTGTGCTTCAGGAACTGCAGAGGAACCAGAGGGGAGATTTATGAATGTAAAACTTCTTACTTTTATTCTTAGGATCTTTTCTCTGAATAACTTGCATCATTTCTTAAGTTTTTTAGATAGTTTGACAACCTTTTGGAAACACAGGGAAATAAAACAGGATCTGAAGATGTCAGCATTTTTGACGTTTTATGGTTTTGGTTTCATTTATGTTTTTGCTCCAAAAAGTATTTTAATACCAGCATGTCTTGTGTTCCCCATATATTTGTTGGTTAAAAGCAAAGTTTAAGGGGAAAATAAATAGAAATTGCCACCAAAGTAACTTTTCTGAGATTACAGCAGTTTGTCAACCGTCTGAGACTAGATGTTACGCCGTTTACTCAACATTATTTTGTAGGAGGGAGGTTTATGGGAATTTCAAACCAGGAAATCTCACCTATCAACTAATTTTCCAGATTATATTTCTAATTTTTCACCTCCCAAATGAACAGAACACAACATAAACGTATCTAAGAGCTGAACATCATGAAGACATCTTTGGATTTTAACATGTTAATGTTTTCACTTGGTGAAACAAAGTTAGAGTCTATTGATGATTGACCTTCTGGACCAAATCCAAGACAAATGCAGAGAAAAACATATATTAGCAGCAAACTGACAGGACAGCACCAGGCTGTGGACTTCAGACACAAAACTCTGAGTGTCCAGTCGGTGCCTCTCGGATGGCCCGTAAAAAGCAAGAACTGGGAGCAGAACACTTCTGTGGTGTGTGTGTGTGTGTGTGTGTGTGTGTGTGTGTGTGTGTGTGTGTGTGTGTGTGTGTGTGTGTGTGTGTGTGTGTGTGTGTGTGTGTGTGTGTGTTTGACATGAATAAAATGCAACTAGCAGTACTTTATAGTGAAGGAAAATCGAACTGTCTGAACTTTTTGTCCAAAGCATCATGTGACCTAAAACATGTTCAAACATCCTGTTTACCGGACTTCTCAACGTACAAACTTTCAAATGAAATTCATTATTTTGCCCAGAATCCTAAGGGTCTAAAAACCTCGGAGATTATTAAAATATTAATGATGATAATAAGAACGTCAACATTTTGAGGAAAGGCTGAGGTTTGCTATTGTAACTATGAAATCCCAACTTTATTAAAGTCTAAATGCTTAGTTCAGTTACAAGAAGTGCAAAAGTAGTGTTGGTAAGAAGTGTTTAAACTGCAGCGGGTATTCCATTATGATCACCATGGCAACCTTCTAAAGAGAGGAGGGCAAAAACAGAGTAAAAATTAAGCCTGAACTATGAGTCATGCTGGAAAATGAGCAGCAGAAAGCTGAGGTGGTCACATGAATGTTTATATTGTTTATATGCAGAAAAACATTTGACACTGATGGAAATCCAGGTGTGCCCCTTCTACACTCTGTGGGGTGTGACATCATAACCCCCGCCTAAAAAAGGTGAAATAATAATAATAATAATAATAATAATAATAATAATAATAATAATTACCTTTTTCCTTTCTCCGTTCCCTTGTGCACACATTCCATCTTGTGTCTAAATCTTTTTCTAAATTGATTTTTTCGCTGCCTGCGTGCTCCGCGCGCGCCCCGTGAGACGCACCAACCTTTCTCCGTCCAATCAGCAGCAGCTCCGCGGAGCCGCGCGGCTGTAATTGGTCGGAGAGGAAAACGCAGCAGCCTTTTGGCACAGAGTAAACTCATGCTCGTCTCTCTGACAGAAGCACGCGCTGGATCGGACAGAAGGGGAGAAACAAATATGAGTAAAGTTTGTCCTAAACGGTGTTCTTTTAAACGTGGTTTCTGCAAAGGTATACGGACTATTTAGACGTTGCGCCTCAGTTTGGCAGCAGGAGGTCTTCATCTGTTCCATCTCTACAGAGGATTTACGCACAGCGGTGTTGCCGGGAAAAAGTTCTCAAACTGCTGTTTTGTGCGCAGGAATAAGCAACTTCTTTACGCAAACTAAAAGAAGCTTTTTCCTTCAACTTTATGAGTGATTTAGCACTTTTAACACATTTTAAACTTGAACTGTGATTTTATTTATATTTAAGGTGCATTTATTCGTGGATTAGAACAAAGCCGGATCTCAACCAGACACCAAACCATCTGAAGCTTTATGCCTTGGGGGATGGCAGCAGCCACCTCAGGTCCATACCTCGCCAGCAGCAGGATTTTGTCCGGTTCCTTCGTCCACTCTGATCGCAGAGGTGTTGGCATGCAGCCGGGCAGCCCCGCCGTGACCACTGTGACTGGGGGTTACAGAGGGGACCCTTCAATTAAGATGGTGCAAAGTGACTTCATGCATTCGGCCATGGTGGCGAGCAACGGCGGAAACATGCTGAGCCACGCGCACCAGTGGGTGACATCTCTCCCTCATGCTGCAGCTGCGGCGGCTGCGGCCGCGGCGGTTGCAGCAGAGGCCGGTTCTCCATGGCCACCCAGCTCCCAGCCACAAGAGGTGAAGAGAAACGCGAGCAGGAATGAGCTCCACTCAGGCTCTGCGCTGCACCACAGGTCCCCGCACATTGGAGCTCACCAGACGCACGCGGGGAGTTGGGGAGGCAACTCCGCCGCGCACATCAGCATCACCGAGGGGCAGCAGCAGCAGCAGCAGTCTCTGGTTTACTCCCAGCCTGGAGGATTTACAGTCAACGGCATGTTGAGCTCACACACCGGACAAAGCCTCATGCACTCGGGGCTGGTGCGCGGAGAGTCCCCTGAGCTGGATCATCATCATCACCACCACCATCACCACCACCAAAATCACCACGCGCACCATCAGCAGCATCACGGAGTGGGCCAAGAGTCGCAGTCAGACGAGGACACCCCCACGTCTGATGACTTGGAACATTTCGCCAAACAATTCAAGCAGCGACGGATCAAACTGGGTTTTACGCAGGCGGACGTGGGCTTGGCATTGGGGACCTTGTACGGTAACGTGTTCTCCCAGACCACCATCTGCAGGTTCGAGGCGCTTCAGCTCAGCTTTAAGAACATGTGCAAGCTGAAACCTCTGCTCAACAAATGGCTGGAAGAGGCCGACTCCACCACCGGGAGCCCCACCAGCATCGATAAAATCGCTACTCAAGGGAGGAAGAGGAAAAAACGCACATCCATCGAGGTGAGCGTCAAAGGCGCACTGGAGAGCCACTTCCTCAAGTGTCCCAAACCGTCCGCGCAGGAAATCAACTCCCTGGCAGACACCCTGCAGCTGGAGAAGGAGGTGGTCAGAGTCTGGTTCTGCAATCGTAGGCAGAAGGAGAAGCGCATGACGCCGCCAGGACTCCCGCGCACACCCGAGGATGCGTACTCACAGGTGGGAGGCATGGGACCTGACACACCGTCCCCCTCCATAGAGTGCAAGAGGATGTACAACGACACGTGAAAAACAAACAGATGGACAAGGAGATTTAAAGGGATTGACTCGTTTTTTAAGAAAATAATTCCCCGACTGTCCAGAACTTCCTGTTAAAATGTTATCCATCAAAAGGAAAAATCAGTGTTAGTTCATTCCAGAACAGGACACTTTTATGTTTGGTTGTTTTTCTGTACTATAACTCAGCCTCTATTGGACTGAAACCTACAAACAAAAACATAAAATGAGTATTTTGAAAGACAAAAACAAAACAAACAAAAAAAAAATAAACAAGAAACAATTCAGAGGCTAAAAAAGTTTCTTTCAGCAAAACTTGCTGTAATGTTTAATCTGTGATGCTGCAGAACTGTAAGTTTGGGCAAAGATTTTGATTTACTGGCTTTATAATAAGATTTTTTCCAGCAATAATTTGAGTGTTTTTCATATTATGTGTTGTGCATCAGTGGATTTATGTTGTTACACACATTTCAACAAGCAACTAAAAACATTCCTACACAGTTTTCCTTTTTGAAAAATCTAATTTCCTTCATGTTTTTGTGTAACTCTAATGTTTTTCTTGTGTGATGATCTATTTATTTTATTCTCTGTGTTTATTTTCATGGAAGTCTAATATTTTAATAAAATTGACACAAGTTTATGTTGAAATGATCATTTGCTGCCTGACACAAAAACAAAGAGGACCAAACTACGTGTTTTTATCTGAGAGGATTCAAGTGTGGAGAAAAAAAAGTATTTAAAATCTGCCAGATGATGGACATGAAGCATAACTTCACCTCATCTGGATTTAATAAATAAACAATTAATTTGACTGGTTTTCTGATTGAATCTGAGATCCTGAGCCTTTTCACCGGGTTAATGCTGCATCGACCAGCCAATGTGACAAGGCTGCAGACTGCAGCTTCATGGAACATCGCCAACCGAGGTCGGCTGTCCCAGATGTCGATTCACCTCAGCAGCGGTTGCCAAGGTGACAGTGAGATGGAGTGACACGAGGCAGCAGCAGATCTTTTGCCACAGATGATGGTAGTCAGGCACAAGATGTGGATGGAGTTGTGACGAACGGTCGTCCGTGCCTTTATTATAATTAAAGTCTGTCCTTACACAAACGCTCAGTGAGAATCACGTCTTGGATAAAGTCACTAATGGTTAAAGCAAAATGGCGAGAAAGGTCAAAGGTTGTCTGCAGCTGACAGACAAAAACAGAAAGGAGTGAATACAAACACAACAGGTAACATATTACTGTTAATGATAGACTCCTTAAGCAATTGCACACACACACACACACACACACACACACACACACACACACACACACACACACACACACACACACACACACACACACACACACACACACTTTTGGGTACTCGACCAAATAATCATCGCCGAGTATCTAAAAATGTGTGTGTGTGTGTGTGTGTGTGTGTGTGTGTGTGTGTGTGTGTGTGTGTGTGTGTGTGTGACTTAACAGACTAGACAAATGATGATAGTTAAACAAAGAATAATTTAGTTTAACCCAACAGAAATAAAATATTATTGAAATGGCCAAAAGATTCCAGAAAACCAAACAAACACATTCATTTTTTGTTGTTTTCAGATTTTGTTGTCGCGTTGCGTTCAGGCTCGTCACCGTTTTCTGTCATGTTTTGTCATTTATTTGCATTCCCCGCTGTTGTTGTCAATAAAATAGTTTTACATTTGTTGATTGTTGTTGGTAATTTTGAATGAACTTCCTGTCATGTTTGGGAACAGTAAATCATTATGACTGACTTCATAAACTGAAACTGTTTTCGATCAAAAGAATTAAAAACCATTGCTCTTTTTCTCTGACTGGCTCTTATTCTCTCTGAGCTGCAGGATCAAAACGGAGGTGTAACATACGCTGGCAGGATTGCAGAATGATCCCCTCAAAGCTTAGTGATGCAAAGATGGGAGATAAGGCTGGAATTGGGGGATAAAAAGACATTTAAAGGGTTTTGTCATCACGCAGCGTTCGCTGTCTCCACTGAATATCAATGCAGGGATCTGAAGTGGGGGACAAGCCGATGATGTTACAGAAACTCCTCGAACAAAAGACAAAAATACATGTGCACTATCAGGAAAGGAGACGCTCAAACGCAACATCATTCATCAACAGATTATTGTTTCCTGCATCTCTGAGCTGCTGAATGATTGCAGCTCCACTCTGAGGATGTTATTACCTCCTTCCAGTTGTAACTACTAATGTAATTGCTCGTAATTGCTCTTAAAGCCCTGTTCAGAGGTGCTTTACATGAAGCAATTACTACAAGATTAATCCCCGCTTTAATGCTTGTTGTTTGTGTCTCACAGTTACAGTCACACACACACACACACACACACACACACACACACACACACACACACACACACACACACACACACACACACACACACACAGCTGGCACACTCCTGCAACAAATCGTTTCAGAGCAGCAAAGTTCTAATCTGCAACTGTTTCTCTGTAGTTTGAACATTATCAGCCCCTCTGCTTGGTGTTTAATTATTTTTACAGCACACACATTGGTTAACCACTGTGTCTAACACTGATTAACACACTGTGACTTCCAACAGAACTCATGAGGCAACCTACTTGGAATCGGTGTGATGCACAAGTAAAGCGTCAGAAGGGTTTTCGTCTGAATGCCCCCCCTCTAAACACATCACAGTCTTTTCTTTTGTCTGGGTGTTGTGACTCAGAAGAGAACATTTTACACTTTGCTTGCGTTTGCATTTATCTCTTTTTTGGTGATTGATGGAGTAGCTTGCAAAGTCTCTCAATCAGGAAGGAATTAAAGCAAACATCTGTGGAACAACGGACAGAGAAACGGATTGTCTTCCCGGCAAGCTTGTTGTGGGGCTGCTGCTGAACGTGACAAGCATGCATGTGCCAGACCGCTGGAGTGGAACTCGTTTGATGGGCATGTTCAGCACATGGGCACGATGCCAATTTAGACAAGCATATCATTTAAAAGAATGGAATTCTGCATGCTAAGTGTGTGAAAGTAACCGTGTCTGTATGGATCTAAAGTATTTGATATGTTAACTAAACAAAAACACACTACACATCTGTCAGCAGCATTGTGTCAGGGGTGTTTCAAAGTCTCCAAAATAAAATAAATAAATACATTTCAGTCATATTTGTCAGTGATGTCACTGCTAAATGTATGGTTTCTACAAGACACAGAAAAGAAAATCGTCAACGTAAAAAATTAAAGTTAAAATTTACATAAAACCTAAATCTAAAAAATTCTAAACACAAGATGTAGAGTTCAGCATCCCAAAATGTCATGGAGGAAACTGCTGCCATCTTCTGGCAATAATCAGCAATGCACGTTGGATCTTTGCGTATTTTGTATTGCCCATACTAATACTACTACTACTATTACTAGTACTACTAGTAATAATAATAATAATTATTATTATTATTATTACTATTATTATTATTATTATTACATGTGTTGATCTGCTTATTAAATGGGTCAAAAATGAATAAATTACAGTCATCATAAAGCAAATCAAGATTAGTTACATGATAGATTTATTTGACTTTTGAATATATTTATTCAAAGGTCAAATGGCTTTTAAAATAATGGAATATATAAAAGATATGATTTCAATTTCATGTTATAAATAAATTGTTATATTTATTATGGGTGCATGGGCATTTGTGTGTGTGATGTTTATTTGACATGGACACAGCAATTACATTGGACGAATCAGATGCATTGTTTAGTGTGTTAGCAGACGTGCTAATTTGCAACACTTGTCCATAGAACCTTTCTAAAAAGTAGAGTAAATTTAAATAAAATACAAAGAGATCAACAATAAATCAAACAGAAAACAGATTAAAATTGCAAACAGTTTTCAATAAAAAAGAATAAAAAGACTAAAACAAGGCAATTTGAGCAGCAATGTAAGACTTTAAAACTATTCATGTAGACATAGTTGTTTAGACTTTAACCATTTTTTGAGTTCTTTGTTAAAAACTTTACTGTCCGTTTCTAGTTTTAGGTCAGCAGGTACAGAGTTCCAAAGTTTGGCCCCCTTTACAGAAAGAGCAGACTGACCAAAAGAAGTCTTGCACCGCGGGACGAGACAATCACCGCAGGTGGAGGCTCGAGTGATTGTTCTATGAGAGCTCTGACGTCTGATGGCCACAGTAGAGAACGGTTTAGACAAGTTATCATTTAGACAATTGAAAAAGAATCTTAGAGTGCTAAAATTAATAAAATTTTCAAAAGTGAGAAGATTTTGTTTCCTTAAAATGCGACAATGATGCCATTTCAATGGTTTCTGGTCCATAATTTTTATTGCTTGCTTGTAAATTAAGACTATAGGTTTTAGAGTGGTGGATGAAGCCTGTGACCATGATGTAATGCAACATGATAAGTGGGGAAAGATCAGTGCATGCATGTACAGTTTAGCAGTGTGGTGTGACAGTTTCCTTCTGATAAAACGGAAGCAGTTTAAATTTGTATTAACCTTATTACAGACGTGCTTAACCTGACTGTCAAATTTTAAGTGTTTGTCTAGGATGATCCCAAGGTACTTCACATCACTCCTTACTTCAATGATTTCCTCTTTAATCCTAGCCTGAAATAGTTCCTGATCAGGCCTGTTTCTCATGGAGAAGCATATGGACACAGTTTTTTTTTAACATTAAGAGTTAGGTGGGATGACTCTAGCCATTCTGAGATGTCTGATAAAGCCTGCATCAGGCGCTCTCCTGCCAGGCCAGGTGTTTTTGTGGACACATAAATGATGGTGTCATCAGCATACATCTGGCAGTCGACGCCTGAGCAGCTCATCGGAAGGTCCTTAATGTACATTGTAAACAGCAATGGACCAAGCACGGATCCTTGTGGTACACCCATGTTGTTTGCAAGCAAACTTGACTTGACCTCATTAACCCTAACACACTGCTGTCTACCCTCCAGGGATAAACTGAACCATTTCAAAGCTTCAGGTGATATTTTAAATTGCATTAGTTTGTTAAGTAAGACGCTATGGTTAACTGTGTCAAAAGCCTTTTTTAGATCCAGAAACACTGCCCCTACAACACATCCTTTATCCAGAGAGGTTGGATCTTTTCAAGCAGATAACAATTTGCAGATTCTGTGGAGTATTTCTGTCTAAAGCCAAACTGCTGTAAATAAAGCAGTTGGTTGAACTCTAAGTGATCCATTAGTTGCTCAGCTACAATCTTTTCCAGGATTTTTGAGACTATCAGGAGGATGGCAATAGGCCTGTAGTTACTTGCTAAGTCCTTTTCTCCCGATTTGTAGACTGGAGCAATTATTGCAGTTTTCCAGCTTTCTGGGAATCTCTTTGTTTGAATTGATACGTTTACTAAATATGTGATTGGCTCCAACATATAACTGTGATGTTTCTTAATAAATGTAGTATTTAAGTTATGGATATCCTTTGCCATGGACATCCGCATGTTTGCAATCACTTTTTTAACTATCCTGGGATACTTCTTTTATATAGGAGTTGGTGTGATCCTTATCAAATTCGTTACAGGGTGGGTCATTTGATTTAAAATGACTGGCTAAATCTTTCACAGACTCAATAAAAAAATTGTTGAAACCATTTGAAATGGACTCATTATTATCAATGAGTTCATCACATATTTTAAGGCTATTTATTTTTGGGTGCTTTTGCTTGCCAGACTTGGTTAGTCTGTTTATATGTTGCCACAGTTTAGAACTGTTGCCAATGCCTCTTCAATCAGGTTATTAAAATAATTAGTCTTTGCTTTCCGCAGCTCAGACACTACTTCATTTCTTAGTCCAGTGTAAATTAAATGGTCAGTATTGGTTTTAGTCCTTAAGGATCTTTTCAGAGCAAAATCTCACTCTTTGATCAGCTGACTGATATCACTGTTGAACCAAGGAAGATACTTTTTCTTAGGTTTTCTTTTCCAGGTTCTTGTGTGCTTACCACCATGAAGGGTCAAGACAAAACTGCTTGCACTATGGGCTGGATCAGGCTCTCTGATTACCCTGTCCTAATTAGCTGTCTTTAGATCATTTCCAAAGTCAACCATTTTTGACGTGGGAATTCCAGTAGTTAAAGTATAATTTTCTGTTTTGTTATGATAAACTAGACGCCTTTTTGTTAGCTTTCTTATGACCAGTATCATATTATGATCTGAAAGACCAGTAATAAGATCGTATATTTTTGTGACTCTCTCTGGCCTGTTTGTTAAAATCAGGTCTATAAGGGTTTCACTCTTTCTAGTAACTCATGTAGGACTGTCAATCAGCTGTTTGTATTTAAATTTGTCCATAGTTAACTTTAGTTTTGCCTTACCCTTTTTATCTTTCCAATTGATGTTAAAGTCCCCAAACAGCACGCATTCACGAGAGTCATCAACAATAGACAAAAGATTTCTCAGTTCATCATAGAAACTTACATCATGAGATGGAGGATTATGAAGCACGACTATACTAAATTTCATGGTTGGTGAGAGAATTACGCTCAATCCTAAGCACTCCAAATTTACACCCAAATCGAGCTCTGAAACCATAAACTGCTCCCTAATGTAAATTAAGACACCCCCTCCTCTTCCCTTGACCCTGTCTTTCCTGTAGCATGTGTATCTTGGTATATTAATTAGGTCAGTAGGAATATTACTAGTCAACCAAGTTTCAGACATACACAAGAAATCCAGATTAGACTCCATAAGCAAGTTCTGTATCTGATCTATTTTTGGTAATAATAATAATGCATTGAACTTATATAGCGCTTTTCTAGACACCCAAAGATGCTTTTCACACACTCTCACATTCACCCACTGCTAGTGATGGTAAGCTACTTGTAGCCACAGCCGCCCTGGGGAGGTCTGACAGAGGTGAGGCTGCCATTTGGCGCCGTCGGCCCCTCTGACCACCACTAACACAGGCAAGTTGGGTGAAGTGTCTTGCCCAAGGACACAACAGCAGGATACCCCTGGCGGGAGCTGGAATTGAACCCATGACCCTCCGATCATGAGGCAACCCGCTCTACCACCTGAGCTACTGCTGCCCCAACTGCTTCTAACGTTTATATGCCCTCCCAATATTCCATTGGGTTTTGTGTCCAAATTCCAGATGACTTGGGCATGATTCACAGTTTGAAAAAGTCTTGACTGTCTCTGTTTCAAAGTTGCACTGTTGGTTAAATGACTTTTGGCGCTCATGTGAAACTGTCTGTGTAGACGTTTGCCAGCTGTTTCAGTCAGTTCTGTGTTTGTTAGTGGCCCAGCCAGGAGCGGTCTTTGCAAAAGATTTATAAATTTATGGATTTCATAAAAATATTTGTAATGTTATCTTGGTCTTGGCTTCTTGCTCCTTTGCTTAAATGAATTGGTTTCAGTGGTAATAGTTGTTATTCGTATTAAAATGTTTTTCTTTTTCTTTTGCTGCATTTCATTTGTCTGCTCTGGTTTATGCTGCTTATTGTTGCTTTCCTTTTGTTTTTTATTGCACACATAGAAATAACAACTTTCGAACAACATTCATTAAAAAAAACGAATAATGCAAATTTGCATTTCTAACAGATTCGTATCACGTGTGTGTGTGTCAGAGCCGGCCTGTAGTTTATGTAACCTGGTGACGATGATGATGATTCATGTGATTTTTTCTGCCTCACTGCTCCTTTAAACCAGAGACCACCTGGCGTCAGCATCCCCCCCCCCCCCCCCCCCCGGGCTGCACGATGGTGATCAATACAGTCGTGAAATGCTTCGACATGGCATGCACTGGAGGGAGCTGCTGCTGGCTCTGCAGAATATCATTTTAAATTTGGTTCCAGGCATCAGAGTCGAGGTAAGTCTGATATTGCTCTGGCTTTATGTCCTCAGGCAAAGCTCAGATGATGATTATTATTATTATTATTATTTTAGTTTTAAAGCAGCCGATGCGTCACAAAGAGAAAAATCGTGAGCTAACTTGAGAATGTGTTGTACAGCCTGACTGCTGGAGCTGCAGGGAAGGAATTTTCATCTCAGAGAACAAAATGTTCTGGAATATTTTAGTAAAAGGAAGGAAAACTAGAGCTAGGAAGCAACATGTTCTCAATGACATCATCAACCAACTGATTTATCTCTGCATTTAACCCCTGTTGTGTCCTGCACCTGACCACACCTGAAAACTGTGTCCTGAAACGACTCCTCCTGCAGCCACACTCGTCTGCATCTCTTTTTCTCTGAGCTTGTTTCTAAAGATAAACGAATCCTGCACAATAAGAACAATTGATCGTCTGTTTAAAATAAAGACTGTTTTTTTATAACAGTCTGTCGCACAGTAGATGAAAGTGCAGGCTGCTTGTTGCCATGGAACTGCTGACCTTGTTTCCACGGCAACAGCCAGCATCTCTATTCAGTGACTGGAGCTGAGGTTTGTGCTAGAATGTAGCTACAGCCAATAAAAAGATTCATAGTTTGTTTGTTTGTTTGTTTTTTGACAAAAACTGTTGCAATAAAATAATTTTACATGATTGCCTCATGTGTGACGTCACATGTCTTATTTTGCAACATTTTATAATATTGATTTGTATAACATCAGGAAAATGGTTGCTTTTTTTTGGTTTTTCTGAAGTTAATTCTGACATTTTATCATCTTGGTGTCGAGAAGGTGTGTTTCTCCTAAACTGAATGCTGACTAAAGAGCTGCAAATGTGTGAAACTCCACAGCTCGGCTGCTGATCATCCTCTCTGAGCCAAGCTCAGCAACACGATTCTGTCCTGAGTGCCGGTAACTCGCTCACGTGGAGCGTCTGACGGCTTATTCAACTCTTTCAGCATCACGTGGACGTCATCCATCTTCTGGCAGCTTTATATTGTCATTCATCACTGAATAAATTAGAGTCAAAGATGTATTTCTAATTCCAAAGGACACGTTACATGACATAACCGCTTGTCATTCATGCTCCTGGCAGCAGCTGCTGATCACCATGATCTTTAAACTACTTTGTGTAGTTTTGAGGAAGACACTCACGCTGATATTAATCTGGCTGTTCTCCTCTCTTTCTCAGGTGTAGCCATGGAGCTCCATCTGCTGGAAAGCATCTTTAACTGCTCACAACTAAAATAGGTATTTAGAACTTTCTCTGGGCTGCCATTGCCTGATAAAAGCTGCCATGGCTTTTTGTAACGAGAGCCTCCTGGAGGAGTCTGAATTCATGGAGCCAGGTTTGGAGCAAAATATGGAGATTATCCGATTAGAAGATGTGCCTCCTTTCATGTCGGCCTCTCTCCGTGTGACCCTGGCAGCAATAATGATCTTCATGATCACTATTGGTTTCCTTGGCAACGCAATTGTGTGTCTGATTGTTTACCAGAAACCTGCCATGCGCTCTGCCATCAATCTCCTCCTGGCCACGCTGGCCTTCTCGGACATCATGCTCTCGCTGCTCTGCATGCCCTTCACCGCTGTCACCGTGGCAACCGCCGACTGGACCTTTGGGAGCGGGTTCTGCAGAGCCTCCATCATGCTGTACTGGCTGTTTGTCCTGGAGGGAGTGTCCATCCTCCTCATCATCAGTGTGGACCGCTTCCTCATCATCGTGCAGCGGCAGGACAAGCTGACCCCACACCGAGCCAAGGTGCTGATAGCGGGTTCCTGGGTGCTCAGCCTGTGCGTGTCCCTGCCTGTTGTAGTAGGGTGGAGGACAGGTGCAGCACGGATGGGTAGCACCTGGGCCCCGCAGTGTGTGCTGGGATACAGTGAGTCCATGGCGGATCGTGGGTACACGGTGCTTTTAGCCGTAGCAGTCTTCTTTGTTCCGTTTGCCGTCATGTTGTACTCTTACGTGTGCATCCTCAACACCGTGCGCCGCAACACCCTACGCATCCACAACCACACCAGCGAGCACTCCTGCCTCCCAGCTCTGAACCAGGTCAGCAAAATGAGACTCACCGGGCTGCAGCGGCCGCCCCAGATCAAGGTGGACATGAGTTTCAAAACTCGAGCCTTCACCACCATCCTCATCCTCTTTGTGGGCTTCTCCGTGTGCTGGTTGCCTCACACAGTGGTCAGCCTGCTGGCTGTGTTCAGCCATCAGTTCTACTACAGCCATCTGTTCTACCCCATCAGCATCGGAGCGCTGTGGCTCAGCTACCTGAAGACGGTGTTCAACCCTGTCATCTACTGCTGGAGGATCCGGAAGTTCAGGGAGGCCTGCCAGGAGTTCATTCCCAAAAGCTGTAGACTCTGTCCGCGGGTGTCAGGCAGGAGCCACAGGAGAGTGAGACCCAGCAACATTTATGTGTGCAGCGAGAGTCAGTCGTCGGTGTAGAAGGACCAGGTTCTGGCTCCGCTTCCAGCTGCTCTGAAACAATGAGTTCACTTTAAAACTCTTTTAAAAACATTAACTTTCAAATATTCTACTTTTCTATGTTAACATCACACAAATGCTCAGAGCTTGTAGAAGTTAAGAAAGGACATAAAGAGACTGTTTACTCCATCTCATGAGGAGCTGCCACTGGATATATCTAAGTTTTTCTGCTGTTTGGTTTTATAAACCAACATTTTCACTCTGTTTACTCATTTTTGACAAACTGCTGCATCCTTTGTTTGCTTGTGTCTAAGTTGTTGTAAACTATGAGCTCAGTGTCTTACTATCAATAAGGGTGAAGATGGGTGACGAGCTTTCTACAAAAGGTACAATTACCTCCAGTGAGAAACAAAAAGCTGGTAAAAAGGTTATTAAAAATGCAATATTTTATCAGCTCAAACTGTTCTTGTTTACATGGATTCATAAGGATGGTGCCTGTGAAATAAAGATTTAAAATAAATCGACACTTGGGAGTGTGCTTTTTGACTATATAAAAACACTTAAGTCATTTTTATTTAATTTAGATTTACTTTGTAAACTGACATTTGAAATGGTTACGTCAGCTCACGATTTTTCAGAAACCTCACAGGAAGGATGAGGTAGAGGTACTGATGAAGTTATCAGGGTCTGAAAATATTAAAATGCTTCTGAATAAAAACTGTTTTAACTGCATGAATGGATCCTTAGATCAGTTTACAATGAGATGTTTAAATGCCTCAGGACGGTTTCTGGATCTGGAAGTGATCTAAACAAATCAGAAATATGTCAAATTTCTATTTTCCATCATAGCCTTACCATTGGATTGTATTCATTTGTAATGGTTAATAAAATGGTTCTGCTTCTGAATAGAAAATATGTTCAAGATTCTCTGCTTTGAAACTTGTGACTTATTTGTCATAAAGTTGAAGCAACTTTGATCCTAATTTTGAGGTTTAAAGCTGAATAAAAAGTTAATTTAACTGAGTATTTCACTAGTTTTGATGACATTTAAAGTAAATTAAGCCTCTATATCTGTTTAAGTCATGTTTTGTGCATTCAAATAAAATTAATATAAAAAAAGAATGAGTGAACTTTTTTTTTTATTTTGACTCTTTAAATGAATGCAATTTGAACTTTATAATATAGACCCAAGATGTGCTTTATTTAGTTTTCGTTCCAAATTAATCACTGGACATATAGCAGTGATGTGCATAATCACCACCACCAACATACTGTCACGACGCGCAGGTGAGTTGAGCCGGAGGTGAGGATCCACATGCAAGGGAAGAAGCAGGCAGGCAAACTGGAATATCTAAAGAGTCTTTAACACAGAGCCCGCAGGACATAGAAACAATGAACCGACAAGACACACAGAACTGAGAGGGTTTAAATGCATGAGGGCTGGGAGCCTGGGTGATTGGAAAACGAGAGGCAGGTGGGAGTAATCAGGAGACACAGAACTGCACAGAATGGGGAGACAGGTCAGGACATGGTGTGACACATACATTTCTTTATGTTTGAACATTTTACCTTAAGAAGCATTTCTGCAGAAATAAAAATGGATTAAACATTTGTTTTAATATATGTGTAAACATTTGTACAATGTCAGCTATTTAAAATGTATTCACATTAAAATGAACATGTCATGTGTAGAAAGAAAAAGACTGGAATGTCTGAATATAAAATCAGTACAAAAGCAGTTATTTGCTAAAATGTTTAACAAAAATCTAGACTAATATTTAAAATTAATTATACATTATTAACTATTCATTTAATGTATTTTAATAAAAATATTTCGAATGGGTACTTTGTCAAATAAGGTACTCGAGGTAAAGAAATGGAAGTTTAAAAATGAGTCCAGTAGGTGGCGAAAAAGGCCTCTCAGCGTGACGGATTCTGTAAAGAAATAAAAGCATCAAAGAAGAAGAAGAAGAGACAACAATGGCGGCGACCAGACAACAAAATGCAAAGAGTGGGTTTACCCCAGATGTTGATCTGTTATTGCATCCAGAGCTTCTGTCTCATGACTTTTTGATTCAAATTTTAACTGAGGTAAGTCGAGCCTTTGAGGAGAAAGTAAAAATGACACGATAACGTTAAAATACGCGAATAAGACTTAAATGGTCGCATGCCAGCTAACAGATTTAGCTTGTTTTATAGAGCTGAGTTGACTCCTCTTTACTGGGTTTAGAGAAGTGTCAGTACCAGAGGCTGTGGGAGTAGGGACCAGCTGACTGAGCTGTACCTCCGACATGTCATCCCGCTGCCGCAGCGGACTTTACCCAACAACCGCTGGGGTCGGAGGGTGGAGAAGTGCGGAGGGAGGCAGACACCGGCTGGACTCAGGTAGCTAACACCGTTTTCACCAGTAGGTCATCATTTCTTTATGGAAACCAACAACTGAAATATTTTATTATCGACCATCACTCACTTAAATGGATTTGAATGAAACTAAATCCGACTGAATTACTTGTAATGAGAGGCTCTGTCGTTGTTGTTATTATTACTATAAACAAACAAAAAAAGTCTATTTGAGACAGAAATTATCGGTTTTTTTTTGGTCTGAGAAGTAAAGTGACGAAGTTATAATCAAAACTAAACAACATTTTTAGTTAAGCAAAGAAATATAAATAATAATTAAGGAGTGTCATCTGTAGTTATAGAAGCATGTCGAACAGCTATATCCCAGCTCTTATCAAACAACCATTTACTTGCTCATACAAACAATAAAGTCTGTTATGCCAAAGTGAATTACTTTCCATCATCAGTATTATTGTGTGAACATTTCCAGCTCCAGTAATGACCAGCATAGGAAAAGGCCTTTGATTGTGTTTGATGGGAGTTCTTCTCACTCTGGATCACTAAAAGTAAAGAAACCAGATGGAACAACAGCGTCACCTGCCACCGACAGGTTAAAACCTCCTCCAGCTGCAAACCTGTCCAACTCCATCCGTAAGCTCACCTCAACCTCTTCTTCCTCATCTACGCACCGTGGTACGGACACCTCCAACCTCAAGCGGGAAGCAAACACCGTGGTAGGAGTTCTTGTCACGTCTCCAAATGTTTGTGTTTTTGAAAAAGAAATTTCTCAAAAAAAAAAGTGTGCTACATTACAGCAGCAACAGGTTTACCCTCCAAATGTGTAAATCATTTCAGAGAAATAAGAAATGTTTAGTAATCAAGAAAACATTAAGATAAAATGCTAGAAATCCAAACTTTTAGTGATTTATTTATATTTTAGGATAAAAAATTGTGATCAACACACTATTCTGATTATGGATAAATGTGTTGTTTTTTCCTCTTTAGAGTTCACTAAAATCTCCAGAAACGAAGAAAAAGATCCAGCACGTCACGTGGCCCTGACCTCTGAACCAGATAACCGCTCCAGTTCTTGTTCCTGATGTGTCATCACCACTTTACTATTCACCAATCTCAGTTTTTTAACTTATTTTCAGAAACCCTTTCATCTCATTGTTCTTGTTCATTAAAGAGAGCTTGCAGTGGTGCTCAGGAGATCCACCAGCTCGTTTAAGTCAAGAACTCCCTTGTTGCTTCCCTAAACCTCAAGTGCTCTTGTTGTTTATATTGTCAGCACTTCTGAGTGAACTAAATATCGAAGATGACTATGTTTCCAAATTTTACCTCTTGGTTTTATTTATTTGATGAGTCTGTTTTGATCTTAGTTATTTTGAAGGGACCACTGTGGAATGCCCACAAGGCCTCGTGGAGGTGTTATAATACACATTGTTTTGATCATAACTTGGTTAAATTTGTGTAAATGCTTCCACTCTGAAACCAGTGGATATTTGTTGTTGTTGTCCAGTCCACAAATGATCAGGATTTTATTCAGTGTTGTTAATTGAACTTATCAGAGTGCTGAGGCATGTCCATAAGGGCCGTAGCAACTGCACTGCAAACAGATAAAAAATGGCTGCCTAAAGAAGCTGTGCAACAGGCTAAGTTGGCACCCCAGCAGGTTGAGTTTGTCTGTCTTGTCCAATATGGATGAGAATAGCTGATTTGTCTGGACAGACCCTTGTAGATTTAGCAACTCCACCAGAACAATGAAAGCTAGTGGTTAGCAGTCTGGCACCGGGAAGAAGCTGTAAGATGTGCAAAGGGGAAGTCCTCTTTCTGCTGAGGTCAGTGGATGAAATTATAGAAGGAGAAAAAAAGATCATCTGGGAAACAAATGCCAGTAAGGTGAGCTGTTTTTGGGTAGAGGCTACGTTACACGGAGCTTAAAGTGAGGGTCAAGGCCTGGGTGGAGACGTATTTCATCCACACTTCCTGTTAGAAAAACGCTTCTGAAGGAGGCGTCTCCTGGCGGACCGAGAGATCGGCACTGAGGTAGTGATAGACACAAACCCCCCCCCCCCCGTTTGCTGTCGGAGTTTCTCAATCTAAGCAGGGCTGATAGGCACTCACTCACACAAGACTTACCCCTCAGGAGAAAAGCAGACACAGATTCTGCAGCATTCTGGTGGATTTCCTGTTAAACGCGATCATTAGATGAAAAGGGGAGGAGGTCATTATTTTCAAGGAGGTGAGCGGCTCAGAGAGCCAGCGTGTCATATCGGCAGGTGAGTGGCTGAGCCAGGTGGAGGTGCGGCTGCCTCACCTGGAGACCAGTGCGGTGCAGCCACGTAGTTATTTGCTGACAACGTCACGTTTTTCAGCTTGGCCATCAGCCGCAGCTGGTTCTACATAAATGTGGAGCAGAGTTTTTAACCTGAAGATGGAGGTATAATTACGGTTTTGGGCTGAAATATTAAATTTAGGGTAAGTTGCACTTAACTGCCACACTAATGATTACACATGTGTACGGCACCATTAGACACTCATCGATACAGGTTATCAGCAAAAAACAGTTAATTTAGGCGTTACTTGCTCTTTAAGGTGGAGGCAGAACAGCAAGACTAGAAAACAAGTGGATCAGTGGAGCTTGATTGTCATGGTTTTATTGCGTCATCCATCACTGCATCCAAGCCCTCTTATCACAGAGACATAAGGAACTGCAGATTGCTGCAGTCAGTGGATATGGACGAGAGCTGGGCTTCAGGAAGATAGGCCTATTTTGAGCAAAATGCTGACACACTTGGTGATGCTGAAGTACACAACTGATGTGTGTCTGACTTGGGGTAATCCTTAATTGTGTAAAAGGCCCCTAAAAAACTGAATAAATGCCGGCTTCTGTGCTTTAACTTTCACGAAACATTCAAGTTTTTTTCATTCTAACTTTGATGTGATGAACATGTAACAAATAACACGTAGTTCAATATTTACAGACGGATCACAGCCCTCTGTTAAATACGCAGGATGTGGGAAAACTATTTTTAAGTAGTGAATACAGATGAAGACAAAATGGACTAATTCAGTGTAAATTATATTAAAAACAGTCACATGAATGTGTGTTTTGAACCTGTAGTTTGTACCTGCAGTTATTTTTTAAATAAATTCCCAGTGAAGTGAATTTTTTGTGTTGGTTTATTAACCATAAGCAACATTTTTGTGGCTCACATTTAAGACAAGGCTGAAATTTAAATAGAAAATAAAATGGATTTTTTTTAAGAATTTGCAGTTTTGGGGGAATCGTGTCAACACAATTTGTCTCTAGAGGTGTTTTTGTGTACCTGCAGACACTATCTTCTTGTGAATTTAGTATTTTCCTGATTTTTGCTGTGATTCAGTTAGTTTTAAATTGTGAATAGTTTCCTTTAAACTGGCTAAAATCAGCTTTCACATCATATTAAACAGGATAAAACTTCCTGTGATTGATTTATTGTTGTTTCCTTGTACAATAAGTAACTGACCAGATTATTAATACACATCATGATTATTAAAACTAGTAAATCATGGTTCAGATACTTATTGTTTTGTATTGTGTGACTGATTGTCCATTGATGTTGGGCAAAAAGCTGTTCAACACAAATGAATAGTGAAATGAAATTTTTGGGCCGATACCGATATTAAGATCACTGTTATGGCCGATAACCGATATTTGCAGGTACCGATATACTGAAATTAATGCTTCCAAAATCAGCAATTTTGTATAAAAAGAATGATTAAAGCCAAATTTACATTATTATGTACACACAACACACACATTTATGGTTCTCAGATGATTGCATTCACCGTTCACATGACTAAACACACACACATCACCCCCTTCACCCTCTGAAACAGGCAAACAACGGAGACAAGATGGAAAAATTATCGGTTGTTAATATCGGCCCGGTTTTATTTATCGGACCGATACCGATATGTTAAAAATGGCCAACATCAGTCGATACTGATGTTGATGCTGATATATTGTCCATCCCTACAAAAGAAGGAGAGCAAAGATTGATTCTTCTAGGTCTTGGATGTGAATTATAAAACAATACTTTTAAATTTTACAGCAGTATCACTGATTTATTTCACAGTGCAACAAACACCTGCAGCTATTACTGTTTCATAGGCAAAGCTGTTTATTCATGCATAAAGACAATTCATTAGTAATTTTCTTCCTCCGGGATTGTGCAAGTAACTTGAATAAACGTAAGTTCTGTTAACACCATTAGTAGCTTAAAACAATGTACATTCACGGTCACACTAAAGATTTCTTGATGACGTGATCAGGCGTAGCTGTCAGATGGACGTTAGATGTCCTTGCCACACTCGGGGCACAGGATGTCATCACGCTCGGTGAGGAATCCACGGCCAACCAGGGACACGGAGCACTTCTTGCAGTTGAAGCAGTCGTTGTGCCATTGGCGCTCCTCGAAGGAAATGTATTTGCTGCCCCCCAGACCTGGGAAGGAAAATCCAGTCAATGTCGATACATCCAATTCATATTTTAGATGGAGGTAGACCAATGATTTCAGTTACCACTGATCGGGGTGGTGCAGGAGGCGCACTTCTTGGCATAAAGGTTGCAGAAGCAGTTTAGACAATAGGCAAAGTCGTCTCTGGAGGTGAACCTCTGGCCAGACAGCTGCTGCTTGCAGCTGGTGCACAGAAAGCAGTCCTTGTGCCAGGGCTGGTCACGGTAGGTCACCCCACCAGTGGTGATGGGCTAGTGAAAGCAAAAAGTCGCTTTTTACCAGTTGAAGAAGTTGGACTACTCATGGAAGATCGTGCCAGCAACATTTCTGTGTTGCTGGGTGTCCTACCTTTTTGCAGTGCACACACTGCATGGCAAACTGCTTCTCGTAGCAGGGCACACAAAAGTTTTGGTTGTCCTTAGGGATGAAGCTCTTGGTACCAATTGGCTGCTGGCATCTCTTGCAGGTGAAACAGGTCTCATGCCAGCTGTTGCCCTTGTGCTCCATCTTCCTGGAACCTATGAAAACATAGAAGACGCTTGGTTAGAGAAACAGAAAAGTGCTGCTCTGAGTCCAGATGCAGAACAGACAGCTTCTAGAAGACTGGTTGGCATTGATTGGTCCATCTGAACTTACCCAGTTAATTTTTAATTATTCATCTAAGTGGTTAAAAATGGAGTAAATCAAGGCAGTACTATTAAACTGATGCCGGTTATGTTTTACGATGTGCCATGGTCTGGGTGTACCCTTGGCTTGAAACGAAGTTGGATTAAATCTTGACAAGGATTTCAGTTAATCCTCAAAGGTGCTATAATGTTTCTCCACCTGATATGTTGTCAACTTGCAGCTGTATTGTTTTCTCTGACATTTACTAGAACACACATATCTCGTGTTTTTCCAACCAGAGTTGAAATGAGATCATCTTCACCTGGCATGATGGTTTTCTTGCACTCATGGCACTTGGAGGAATACTCATTGGAGTAGCACTCGGTGCAGAGGAGCTGCTCGTCCTTGGTGGAGAAGGGCTTGTCCACCAGGGAGCGCTTGCACTGGAAGCACATGAAGCAGTCCTCATGCCAGTGACGGTCCTTGTAGGACAGGTCCTGCAGGAACATCAGCTGAACGGTTAAAATCAGGTACTATACAGAGAGTCTCTAGTGGTCACTGGCATCCCTTCTTACCCTGGTGTTGCAGCCAATGGGCTTCTTGCACTCCTCACAGGTGTTGGAGTACAGGCTCTCATAACATTTCACACAGTAGGGATTCTCCTCTCGGAGAACGTACTTCTTCCCAAACAGGGACTCCTTGCAGTAGTGGCAGTCGTAGCGCTCGGTCATTTTGACCCAGGGTCGCTAGCTTGGAGAACAAGAGTTGGGAAGAATTATTCTTTCGTTGTTTGATTGACAATTTCCAATGAAAATGCCCCTTCCTGTTCCGTCTCCTTGCCGTCTTTCATGTTGTTCCACACGTCAGGAATGAAGGGTGGCTGATGAAGAGGATATAAATAACTCCTATCAGCCCTGCTTGGACAACATTTGCCCTTTCTGCATACCGACGATCCCACTGTACCAGTGTTCGTTGACCCGTCTAGGGCTTCACCTAACTGTCACCACCAGATCCCTGAACCCCTTGTCCCTGTACAGACATAAAACGGTTGAACGGCTCAAAACCAGCAGCTGCTTGGTCAGCTTCTGTAATCCTGCAGGAGCTTTTCTGTTCCGATGACCAGTGTTTCAGTTTTTCTTCCAACTCAACTATCCTGTTGTCAACTTTGACTCATCACATATAAGTGCCTCAAAATGAGCCCTGGGGGATCTCCGGAGGGGGCATCTTCTATCTGACTTTTAATCCTCCCGTCCTCCCCTCTAAGAATTCTCACCCCCTCACATTCTCTCATTGTATTTGCTCCCACCGTGACTCACCTAGCTTAAATACGGATTTATCGGACTCCTAAAAATACAGAAGGATAATCTGAACTGCCACAAATAAAACCTGCAGCTATTTCCATGTGCCATGCAGCTGTTTCTGGGATCCCGGGGTCTCTTTGATGCCACCCATCTGGGAGACACTCAGGTCTAAAGCCAGGTTGAATGGAAAACTGAGTCCTTTGGCAAGTGTGCCTTCCAAACGTGAGGAGTTGCTCCCATTTCTGTGCTTGCATCATATTCAATGAAAATGTGCAGCTTTGTTTTCATTGAAGCTGAGTAAAAACAACAATTTTCAGGTAACTGGTGGTTTTTACCAACATTCATGAGCAGAATTTTAAATATTTTGCCGTGGAAGCAACAGTTAATGAGGACATTCCCATCCGTGCACTAATTAAAATCTAGAACGTAGATAACAGCGTTAAAGGGAAAAACGAATTAAGAATAAATTGATGTTTTAATTTAAATTGAGAATTACAGTTCACACATTAAATGCAATAAATAAAAAACACTGATCTACCTGCTTTGCAAGGCCTAATGCAGTATTCTTTAGAATTTTATTTTATGTCATTACGTTGCAAGACTTGGCAAGCTTGCACTATAAAGCTGCATAAATGAACCCAACAGACAGGGGTCAACAGGTCGTTTTGTCTCTGAGGTAAATGGTGATGAAAGTGGGGTGAGGGATGAGGTGGAAACTGGTGAACAGGAAGATGGGAAGATGCTAGAACATTAAGGAGTGTCTCAGAGGGTGGAGGACATGGTGAAGGAGAAATGAAGGAGGAGGATGAGGTGAAAGGGATGGAGAGTGGAGCAGCTGGACAGAGTTTGCTCTTACCTTCCTGTCTGAGGAGAGTGCGCCTGAGCGGAGTCTGGGGCAGACTGAGAGCGGAGGCTCCGGGCGAGCTGTACTTACCCCAGATTGTATTAGTCCTCCCATCATGGGCTAATTGAAAAGAGGGGCGGGCGGATGGGAGGAGGATGGGGTGGGGTGGGGATTCTTTTTTTGAGCCGATCTATAAATACAGCAGCACCTCAGAGAGATAACCCCGAGGTCACCCTTCATGTGCTCACCCAGTCACCGACACGACCACATCGCCTTTTAAGGTCACTCAGTTGTTGTTCACGCTCTCACAGACTCACTCACTGACTTCACTCACAAAAATGTGTCTTTATTATTGTCTCAAAACATTTTTCTTTCCTCCCAGAGCAGCTTTGTCATATCAACCCTCCCAATCTCACTTCCTGGAGACTACTCTCCGGTCTTCTCTGCAACAGTGTTTTCTTTGCATCAGAAATATCCGTCATTATCGTTACCATAACAACCGTTCCTCAGAACCTTTGTGAAATGATGTTCACAAAACAGGGGGTCAAATATAAAAGACGTGTGTCCTGTGAGGATCGTTTTTACTCAAATGTCTCACCGAGCCTCCAACTTAATGGCTTGTTAATGACAGACATGGTTTCTTAGAAAATTCTAGCGCTGCTGTCCGCACCCCCAGGGTCTCTTGTTCACACGGGGACCCCTTTGCACTCTTCTGTCTCAGGCAGGTTTTCCAGAGGATGTACGTCAGAGTGGATCCACTATGATCCAAGTGCTCTATTTGTGGCACCGCACAGAGCCCGCTGCTTTAGCAACCTGTGGAAACAGTTTGTGCGATTCTAATATCCTGACAGAGCCTCGCCTCTGTCAGCGCGCACCCGGGCAGCTGTGGCTGCATCGTAGCTCATCACCATCAGTGTGTGAATGTGTGTGTGAATGGATGAATGATGCACTGTAGTGTAAAGCGTTTTGGAGTCCTTACTCTGAGAGTACTATACAAGTGCGGGTCATTTATCATTTTAAAATGTCTGGCTGTAAAATGCATCCTTATATATTATATGAGTTCAATATTGTGGCTGTTAGATGGCAGTCTCCATCAGCTGTCGACCTGAGCAGGCACTTTGTTTACGTTTAAATATCCCAGAAACTGTGATACGTAAATTGCTGGGAAACTTATTTATGTCTTCGTCACTGACGAGCGTCTCTCTCTCTCTCTCTCTCTCTCTCTCTCTCTCTCTCTCTCTCTCTCTCTCTCTCTCTCTCTCTCTCTCTCTCTCTCTCTCTCTCTCTCTCTCTCTCTCTCTCTCTCTCTCTCTCTCTCTCTCTCTCTCTCTCTCTTCCTCTCTCTCTCTCTCTCTCTCTCTCTCTCTCTCTCTCTCTCTCTCTCTTCTCTCTCTCTCTCTCTCTCTCCTCTCTCTCTCTCTCTCTCTCTCTCTGTGTGTGAGTGTGTGTTTCACACACACCAGGCTCGCATGGCAACCAAGATGGTGTTGCTTTGTCGTTTTTATACCCCCCTAAAAAATTGAGTTAAATAAAAACAAACTCTTTTATTGTGTTTATGCACCACTCAGAAAGTCTCACTCAGATATTAAGACACCCAATTTACTCATTACATGATTTATTGACCAGCTAGTGTGTTGTTGTAACCCATACCTTTGTGTTGTTCATGTCTCAGAGTGGTGCTGGCCTTCAGAAAAAAGTTTTAGTTCATGTTTAGATACTTTCTGCATTTTTTTTTAAAGTTTTATGATGCAGATGTTCTGAAAAGGAACAAAAAATCTAAAAACACT